TTAGGAGCAGTAGTCTTGCCCTGCTCCATGTGTCTGGAAGTCTCTGACCAACATTTGTGCTGCTCAGTGAAGCCAAGCCCAGGATGCACTCCTTGTTCCTGGCCAGTCTGATGAACCTGGGAGAATCCTGGCGTCTAGCTGGACCTTCTTCCTGCTTTTCTTTCCATGTGGATTTTAAACATAGGGGATTCTTCTCATTCATTTGTTTACCTGTGTTTGAAACAGGTGCTATGAGAAGAGAAGAAAGGCACATTTTGTAAAATGTAGTTTAGAAGCAATGACAGTTTCTCAAAGGATAATGGTTAAATTTTGGTACAAAGTTTGTAATTGCTTTTTACTGTGTGTGTGTGTAAGATCTTGATGTTTCTGAGGACACTGGTCAGATATTTTGTAGAACATCTCCCAGCTGGAGTTGAGTGATGATTTTCTCATTGTCAGACTGGGTTTATTAGTTTTTGGGAGGAAGACCCCAGAGGTATAAAGTGCCATTTTCAGCACATTTTATCAAGGGTGTCTATAATTAACATGACTTACTGTTTAAAATGTTTGTTTATTTATTTATTTTGGGACAGGCAGAGTTAGACAGTGAGAGAGAGACAGAGAGGAAGGTCTTCCTTTTCTGTTGGTTCACCCCCTCAAATGGCCGCTATGGCCGGCGTGCTGCGGCCGTTGCACTGTGCCAATCCGAAACCAGGAGCCAGGTGCTTCCTCCTGGTTTCCCATGCGGGTGCAGGGCCCAAGCACTTGGGCCATCCTCCACTGCCTTCCCGGGCCACAGCAGAGAGCAGGGCTGGAAGAGGAGCAACCGGGACAGAATCTGGCGCCCCAACTGGGACTAGAACCCGGGATGCCGGCACTGCAGGCGGAATATTAGCCTAGTGAGCCGTGGCACTCGCTGTTTATTTTAATCTATTTGTAAAATACAGAGAAAGGGATACAGACATGTATCTTCCATTGGCTAGTTGACTCCCCAAATGCCTGCAACAGCAAAGGCCAGGCAAGGCTAAAGCCAGGAGCCAGGAACTGCATTCAGCTCTCCCATGTGATGCCTGATAGCCAAGTACCTGGGCCATCCTCTCCTGGCTGCCAGGTTGCACATTAGCAGGAAGCTGGGCCAGAAGCAGAATAGCCGGGACTCAAGAGTGCGCTCTGATATGGGATGCAGGCACCCCAGCGGTGGTTTAACTTGCTGGGGCACAGTGCCCGCCCCTAACTTATCACTGTTGATACAAACCTTGATCACCTGCCTCAAGTACTGCTTGTTGGGTCTCTCCCCATAAAGTTACCCTTCCTCCCCCTTCTGTACTGTACTCTTTGGAAGGAAGTCACTGTGTGCAGCCCTCACTTTAAATACCGGGGAGTAATGCTCCACCTCCTTGAATGTGAAGTATCCACATAAATTATTTAGAATTCCTCTTAGGGTAGACTTGTAAAAGGACCTTACAGAGTATTAAAATGAACTAGTTAAATGACATTACATCTAGGTATAAATGCCTCTTTTTAAAATTTCCTTTAAAAATGATTATATAATATATGCTCACTGAAGAAAACTTAGAAAATGTAGAAAAGGAAATGGCGCTGTGGTGTAGCAGGTAAAGCCTCTGCCTGCAGTGCTGGATCCCATATGGGCATCAGTTCATGCCCCAGCTGCTCCTCTTCCAATCCAGCTCTCTTGTATGGCCTGGGAAAGTAGTAATGGATGGCCCAAGTCCTTGGGTCCCCGCACCTGGGTGGGAATCTTGGAAGAAGCTCCTGGGTCCTTGGCTTTGGATCGTCACAGCTCTGGCCATTGTGGACCTCTGGGGAATGAACCAGCAGATAGAAGACCTTTCTCACTCTGCCTTTCAAATAAATAACTCTTTTTTTTTTTTTTAAAGAAAGAAAATGTAGAAAAGTGTAAAGCAGTAGAAAATAGAACCATAGGTTGAGTATCCTTTACCCAAGAGCCAGGAACTCCATCCAGGTCTCACACAGGTGGCAGGGACTCTAGTGCTCAGGCCATCATCTACTGCCTTCCCAGGTGCTTAGCAGGGAAATGGATCAGAAGTGGAGCAGCTGGGACTGCAGCCAGCACTCCAATATGGGATGCAGGCATCACAAGTGGCGGCTTAACCACAAAACAGCCCCCTAAAGCAACTATTTTTAAACAGCACTTGCTTGCAACTGTTTCACATGATATGAAAATATTTTACCTTTGAATATGACAAAGATAGAAGAGTCATAGAAAAACAGATCTTGGTGGTATTTCTAACAGGATTTCAGAACATAACCTACCAATCTGATAATTTATGAAAACATTTTAGATTTTATCTGTTTTTTAAAGATTTTTATTATTTATTTGAAAGGCAGATTTACAGAGAGAGGGAGAGACAGAGAGCTTATTTTTTAGGAGATTCATTTATTATTTGAAAGGCAGGTTTACAGAGAGAGAGAGGGATACAGAGAGATCTTCCATCTACTGGTTCACTCCTCAAATGGCCACAATGGTTGGAGCTAGGCCTGTCTGAAGGCAGGAACCAGGAGCTTCCTCTGGGTCTCCCATGTGGATGTAGGGGCCCAAGCTCTTGGGCCATCTTCTGCTGCTTTCCCAGGCACATTAGCAGGGAGCTGGACCAGAAGTGGAGCAGCTTGGAGTTGACCTGGCACCCATATGGGATGCTGGTGTCACAGATGGTGGCTTTACTTGCTATGTCACAGCGCTGGCCCTGATTTTATCCCTGTCTTAACAAGGAGTTCAGATGTTTACAAATACAGCTTTTACTGTGTGGTCTATTGTTTCTTAACCTTTCTATTATTTCTTAACCTTGTTCTTTATTTTACTCTTATATAATCCACATTTTAAATGGAATAAATAAGGTTTGAGGAAACTTGGGTGACTAGTTAAAAACTCTGGCAATAATCTAGGCTTCAGATCTTCAGCTTCTTTGTTGCATGGTATGTTTGGACTCATGATAACTTTATTTTTCTTTCTGAAAGATTTTATTGACTTTGTAAAGTTGATACATTAAAAAATCAAACAATAAAGTTCAAAGAATCCAAAAATTCTATCTATTCTAAAATTCTATTTAGGAATAACATTAGCATCATTCCAAAAATATACTTTGCCTGCATATATACATAAATTTACAAAAAATGTTCATACACTATATACCATACCTAATTACTAAATTTTACAGAAAATGAAAATGAAGAGATTACCAAACTAAAGTTCAACTTCCTTTTGCAAGCCCTATTTTTTTTTAAAAAGATTTTAATTATTTATTCCAGAGGCACAGTTACAGAGAGACAGAAAGGTCTTCCACCTGCTGGTTCACTCCCTAAATGGCTTCAATGGCAAGGCAATCTGGAGCTGGGAGCTTCTTCTGGGTTTCTCATGTAGGTGCAGGGGTCCAAGCACTTGGGCCATCTTCCACCGCTTTCCCAGGCCATAGCAGAGAGCTGGATCGGAAGTGGAGCAGCCGGGACATAAACTGGCGCCCATATGGGATGCTGGTGCTACAGGCAGAGGCTTAGCCTACTAGGCCATAATGCTGGCCCCTGGAAGCCCTATTCTTATGAATCCCTTTAAAGTTTTCCAAAAAGATTATGAAAAGCATTAACCATGCCTATTCCTAGAGTCGAAGGCTGGTGCCCTCAGAGTTTAAGCAATGGGCATGCAAGCACCAGTGTGTACCAGATGTGGGAAGAGGCTCCCATCTGAGATTCTGTCACCCGTATTTTTAAGAAGAGCCGGCACACAGGGTACTGTGATGCAGCAGGTTAAGCTGCCACTTGGGACGCCTGCATCCCATTTCAGAGTGCTTGGTTCAAGTCCCAGCTACTCTAAAATTCTGATACAACTTCATGCTAGCACTCACTCCTAGGAAGCAGTGCAGGAAGGCCCATGTACTTGGGTTCTTGTTTAGCTTGTGGGAGACCCAGATGGAGTGCCTGGCTCCTGCCTGGTCTAGCCTTGGCTGCTGTGGGCATCTGGGCAGTGACCCACTGGATGGAATATCTTCCTTCCTCCTTTTCTGTCATCCTGCATTTCAAATAAATAACTAAATCTTGTTTTCAAAGATTTATTTTATTTGAAAGAGTTACAGAGAGAGGTAGAGACAGAAAGAGAGGTCTCCCATCTGCTGGTTCACTACCCAGATGGCCAGAGCTGAGCCGATCCAAAGCCAGGAGCCAGGAGCTTCTTCTGGGTCTCTCACGTGGGTGCAGGGGCCCAAGGACTTGGGTCATCTTCCACGGCTTTCCCAGGCCATAGCAGAGAGCTGGATCGGAAGTGGAGCAGCTGGGTCTCAATCTGCCACCCATATGGGATGCCAGGGCTTTAACTCACTATGCCACAGCGCCGGCCCCAAGTCTTAAGTTTTAAAATACAGTGAATTCCATGTTTCTGGAGTCCTAAGTTAAAAGCAGCCCAATGTTTTCAGTTTACTTATTAATGTACAATTTTTAAAAATTTTAAATAAAAAAATTATAAAGTGTTTTATATACTATTTCACTATGACTCCTGGATCTAAACTTCAAGGATATTGATGACTTTTTTTTTTTTTAAAGATTTATTTATTTGAAAGTCAGAGTTACACAGAGAGAGGAGAGGCAGAGAGAGGTCTTCCATCCGATGGTTCACTCCCCAGTTGGCCACAATGGCCGGAGCTGTGCCGATCTGAAGCCAGGATCCAGGAGCATCTTCTGGGTCTCCCACGTGGGTTCAGGGGCCCAAGGACTTGGGCCATCTCCTACTGCTTTCCCAGGCTATAGCAGAGAGCCAGATCAGAAGTGGAGCAGCTGGATCTCTAACCGGCACCCATGTGGATGCCGTTGCTTCAGGCCAGGGCATTAACCTGCACCACAGTGCCAGCCCCTTGATGACTTTTCTTAAAGATATTCTGAAGTTCACTGCACTCTTTTATTAGTAATATTTATTTTCTTTGATAGTAAAATGTTATTCAGGTCCTCTATGAATATATACATTTACTGCCAATACGAAACCATCTTTTCAGCCACAGTTAATTTTTTAAACATCTTTTTATTGAACAAGATTTATTTTTATTTATTTGAAAGGCAGAGTGACAGAGAAGGACAGACAGCTCAATCTTCCATCTGCTGGTTCACTCCTCAAATGCTGCAACAGCTGGGACTGGGCCAGGGGGAAGCCAAGAGCTAGGAACTCCATCTGGTTCTTCCACATGGGTGGCAGGGGTCCAAGCACTCAGGCCGCCATCTGCTGCCTTCCTAGGCACATTAGCAGGGAGCTGGATCAGAGGCTGAGCACCTGGGACTTGAACGTGGGCTCTGATATGGGGTGAAGGTGTTGCCAGTGGTGGCTTAACCTGATGTGCTGCAATACTGGCCGCCCAATTTTTATTTTTAGAAATAATTTAGCCTAATTTTCTTTTAAAAATATTTATTTATTTGAAAGGCAGAGGCAGAGAAAGAGAGTCTTCCATCTGCTGGTTAACTCCCCAAATGGCCACAACGACTGAAGCCAGGAGCCAGGAGCTTCTTCCTGGTCTCCTACGTGGGTGTAGGAGCCCAAGGACTTGGGCCATCATCTACTGCTTTCCCAGGCCATAGCAGAGAGCTGGATTGGGAGTGGGGCAGCCAGGACTCAAACTGGCACCCATATGGGATGCTGGCACTGTAGCTGATGGCTTTACCCGCTACACCACAGTGCCGGCCCCCCAAAAAAGATTTTTTAGAGTTATTTCTGTGATATAATTTTTAAAATTTTGGCTTATAACCCAAATTGGATTTTGTTTGTGCACAGGGGCAGCAGAAAGGAGCACTGCTCTACCTGCTTCTCTGAGCTGGGGTTAAATAGTTTTGTTTTTAAATTTAGGAATTTAGAGACACATCATCATTGCCTTTCTCTTTCTTTCTACATAGTGAGTACTTTGGCTGTTTTGAAAATCATTGAGGCTGGTGCTGTGGCTTAGCGGGTAAAGCCACCACCTGCAGTGCCGGCATCCCATATGGGTGCCAGTTCAAGTCCCTGCTGTTCTACTTCTGATCCAGCTCTCTGCTATGGCCTGGGAAAGCAGAAGATGGCCCAAGTCCTTGGGCCCCTGCGTTGGCATGGGAGACCTAGAAGAATCTCCTGGCTTTAGATCGGTGCAGTTCCAGCTGTTGTGGCCAACTGGGGAGTGAACCAGCGGATGGAAGACCTCTCTTTATCTCTCTGCCTCTTCTTCTTTCTCTGTGTAACTCTAACTTTCAAATAAATAAATAAATCTTTAAAAAAAAAAAACAAAATCATTAAACCATAAATTTAAGCCTAAGCAGTTCACTTGATCTCTAGTTTGGGTATGAATGAGGGCAATTTGATGTTTTTAAATGATAGTTTAATTTTTCTATCAATGAAGCCAACATGGAATAAAGGATGAATTGTACTTGTGACTGTGGATTAATCCTGACTTAATTCATGGTAGCTTAGTTTACTGAAATAATTGTCCCTTCTAGTTCTCCACTAAAAATTAGGTAGACTGTTGATGAACTACTCAACTTCAACATGTATTAAAGAAGGGTTAAAAAGTAGTCCCATTAGGGGGCCAGCGTTAATGTCCACCGTTCCACTGCTGATGGGAAAACCTGGGAGAAGCAGCGGAACATGGCCCAAGTGTTTGGGCCCCGATGAAGCTCCTGGCTTTGACATGGCCCAGCCCCAGCCCCAGCCCCAGCTGTTGCGGCCATCTGGGAAGTGAACCAGCAGATGGAAGATCTCTGTCTCTCCATCTCTCTAACTGATTTCCAAGTAAGTAAATAAATCTTTAAAAAAAAAATAGTTTTATAGTAAGAAATTACAAACATGTCTTACTCAAATCTAAACACAAAATGCAGGAACCACATTTATCTTTCCAGAGCACCTCACTGTACAGAGATCCATAAATGTTGAATTGATGTGACATTTCCTTAATTTGCAGTGTTCCTGTCTTGATAGCTTCCAATAGCATGATACCTGTGAATAAGTACGTTTTTTATAATTACGTCCAAAAGATGGTCTAAACTCTTTGGTTTTTCTGAAATGTATCAAATATTGCTTTTCATAAACCACTGCCTGGAGTTTGGAAATCGTTTTCTACACAAAGTGTTTGTTGTATTTCCGGGGCTGGGGGTGGGGGGAGGTTATTTTTTGTAACAGGATTTGACCTGTAACTATGATTGAGAATTTTCTTAGAGGAGTTCAAAGCATTTTACAGGGATCATCTCATTTATCCCTCAAAAGTAAGGCAGAGGCATTATCTCCACTACAGACTGAGAACACTAAAAGGCCAAGATAGGTGGGGTTTTTTGGTTGTTGTTGTTTTGCTAAGATCAAAAAGTAATTCCAGTGCCAAGCCAGATTCCGGTCTGACCTTGTTACACGATGCTTCTGTAGCACCCCAACACAATGTAGCTCCTTCCCTAAGTCTCTCCTTGGCTATGCTGAGTGTTGCATAATTTTTGGAATTGATTTCTCATTCCTTCCTGCTCTCTGAAAATGGGTGTTAAGATGTAGACAAATACAAAAGAAACTCCTCAATTCCTTTCTGTCTGGATTTGGGGTGCAGCCATATTCCTCTCTAAATTTCACTTCCACACATAATCAGTATAAAATTACTAACGAGATAATTTCTTTTGCTTGTACAAGTCTTCAAAGTCTGTCTATTTCACACTTACAGCATACTTCAATTTGAACCAGTCACACTTCAAATGCTTCAGAGTCACGTGGCAAGGAGGGACGGTGTTGGACAGCACAGGTGTAGACCTCGGGCGCTCTCCTCTCAGGTGGGTGCCATGAGAATTGAATGGGTGGTACAGAGAAGGGATCCTGGGTGATCTTTGCACCTGGGTGGTGGTTCATAAGAAGGCCTACCTTTGCCATGTCCTGACACTATTTTGGGAGTTAAGGAGTTGCCTCCCAAATTATGTTCAACATGCAAGTTCACCGCCAGGCCCTTGGTTCATATACCCTGTGTGAGAAACCGGGGTATGGAACTTCCAGGGCTGCTGTTCCTGGGGCCCCGGCATGTGGCCTGCGGAGAGGAAGCATCACTCAAGGGAGGAAGAGGAAGGCTCCCTTGACAGGAAAGCCATCCTACTAGGTGCTTCTTGAGGGCAGGGGCCTTCGGTGGGTCCCACAGCAAGCTCGATGCACGAACGCCTGCGCTCGCACCAAGTGCTCCCGGCTGCCCGGGATGGGGGCTGTCCGCGCCCCGGCCTCAGTCCGCACCCCAAAGTGGCTCCACGGCCGCAGGTGTGAGGGGCGGGCCCAAGCCCGGGCCCGCGCCGCCCCATGTGACCCGGTCCGACATGGTGTCGCCTCCTCCCGGGACCGCGGCGGCGGCGGCGGCGGCGGCTCCGGCTCGGCTCCGCGTCGGGCCGGCCCCGCGGCCGTTCATGGGCAGCCAGGGCCGCTCGGGGCCCCCCGGGAACGGCGGGCCAGGGGAGGGCGAGGGCGGGGAGGCGAGGAAGCTGCAGGAAGGGAGGGTCGCGAGGGGAAAGCGAAGGAAGGGGAAGGGGAAGGGAAAAGCTGGCGCAGGGCAAGGCGGAAGAGGAAGCGGGGCGGAAGGGAAGCCGGGGCCGCGGAAGGCGAAGGAGGCAGCGCAGCCGGCGGCTGAGGCGGGAGCGAGGGCCGGCCCGGCGGAGGGAGTAGAGCGGGGCGGAAGCGTGGAGGAAGGGGCGAGGAGCCTCGTACAGGGAGACGAGGGGCGAGCAGGCGCCAGGGACAAGGCACAAGTTAGAGACGATGGGAAGGAGGCATGGAGGGTCCGGACTGGACGGCGGGAGGATACCAGGCCGGGCAGAGCACAGAGACGAGGGAGTCAGGCTTGGGGCGGCCTCGCGGGGACAGGGGCGGCCATGGCGGCAGCAGCTGAGGAGGAGGCAGCGGCTCGCCCGCCCGCCGCGCGCCCGACTGCTGGGTCCGCGCTGTGGCGCCTGCCGGAGGAGCTGCTGCTGCTCATCTGCTCCTACCTGGACATGCGGGCCCTCGGCCGCCTGGCCCAGGTGTGCCGCTGGCTGCGGCGCTTCACCAGCTGCGACCTGCTCTGGCGCCGGATAGCCCGGGCCTCGCTCAACTCCGGCTTCACCCGGCTCGGCACCGACCTGTAAGCGCCCGCTCGCCCGCCCGTTCCCCGCCCCGGGCGGGCCGGCGTCCCGGGAAAGGGCGGGGCGTCGCGGCCTGGTCGGCCCGGGGCTGTGTCGCACTCAAGAGTTCCGAGGCCCAGGCCTGCCTCCTCGGGCGTTGCTTCCCTCCAAGGCCCCCTTTCGTGGAAACCTCCCCACAGCATCCCTGTCGGCACCTCCCCCGTGGGCGGCTGCTCAGTTAGCACCCCCTCCAGCTTTTAATTGTGCCTTCGCCCCAGAGCCTCAGCCTCCCAGGAACCAGGCTGGCCTGTGTTCCTTCGTGCATTGGGCGGCTCCTCCAGTCCAGGTCTTGGCCCCGAGTCCACGAAGTGGCGATCAGAACGTTTCGTGGACGTCAGCTCAGATGAAATCCAGCTAGGAGCAGAGCAAGCGCTCAGCCCCAGTGTCAGCCGTGGTTCATGACTGTACAGGCAGACGGCCATGAACGAGGTGCCTGCTTGAGGCAAGAGGCTGCATTAGGCATGGTGTTGCAATTTGGCCTGTCCTTGGTAGGGCCTGGAGTCTGCCAATGAAGAGCTTTCTTGAACCACATAAGCTGTTAAAACAGGACAGGTGAAATGTATGGAATTGGGGGAGTAAAAGCTCTCAGATTGTACCTTGCATCACCCAACTGTGTTTTTTAAAAGGCAGTTTTTAATGCCGTGGAATAACATTACAGAATATTTTTTAAAACCTAGAAAGCCACAACACCATCACCTCTAGACACTAATTTTACTTAGACATTTTTAATTTTAACAATTTTTAAAAAAGATTTGTTTATTCAAAAGGCAGAGTGACAGAGAAAGAGATCTTCCATCTGCTAGTTCATTCCCCACGTGGCCACAACAGCTGGGGCTGGGCCAGGCAAGCCTGGAGCCAGAGACTCCACCTGGGTCTCCCATGTGGGTGGTGTGAACCCAAGCACTTGAGCCATCATCCCTCAGGTACATTAATAGGGAGCTGGACTGGAAGTAGAGCAGCTGGGAATTGCACCGCACTCTGAAATGGGAGGCAGGTGTTGCAAGTGGCTCCTTAGTCTGTTACTCTACAATGCTGGTCTCTATTGAAAACTATTTAAAATTGTCTTTTAATTTTATTTGAAAGGCTTAGAGTCACACAGAGATCTTCCATCTTTTGGTTCACTCTCCAGTTCACTGGGTTGGCCTAAAGCCAGAAGCTAGAACTCAATCTGGGTCTCATGTGGGTGGCAGGGACCCATGAAACTTGAGCCATCACCTCTATCTCTCAGCGTGCACATTAGCAGGAAGCTGGAATGGGAAGCGGAGTCAGGACTTGAACCCAAGCCCTCTGATATGGGATATGGGTGTCCCAATGGGGTCTTCACTGCTGTGCTAAATGCCCAACCCTATTTTAATTGTTAACGATTTTTAAGAATATACCTCCGCCCACAATAGTTGCTGTCTTACTGATGCTGACAGAATACATGGGTACATAATGAATAATGCATTTTAGGCTAACAATCTTATTGAAATGTAAGTCACATACCATTTGACATATGTCTTTTAAATAGTTCTTCAGGATAAAATCTCAGGGTGGGCTTTATTGAGTCAAATATGGTTTGCAAAGGTGCTGCTTCAAGTTATAGTGCACCTGCAAAGAGTGAACCAATCTTATGTATCAATTTAAACGATCTTTGCTATTTTAGTGAATATATACTGTTGTCTCCAAATTGTATTGCTTCCCATCTCTTTTATCACTGGTCGGGATAAATGTTTTTGCGGTGAGATTGTTCCTGCTTTTTGCCCATTTATTATTGAGTTCTTGGTGTTTTTCTTATAAAATTGGAAGCCATGGATCATAGATGTTAGACTCTTGCCTGTCATATTTGATGCATATATTTTCCTTGTCAATTATTTTTATCATTTTTATCTTATAAAAGTTTTACACTTTAATGTATTAGAATCTGACAATCTTTTGTGAGTTTTCTCTCTTGTCCCCCAAAGCTGAGAAATTTATAATTTTTCCACGAACCTGATAACTCTTCCTTTTGATTTCCCTTTGGTCTCCTTAGAATCTGATTTTTAGTTTACACTTTCAGCAGTATCACATTTCTTTTGGTGTAAGAGGGGAGTTCAACTTACTGTTTTTCCCCCAGAATGGCTACGTAGGTATCATTACACCTGGTATTCTTTCTTCTTGTTCTTTTTGTTTTGGAAAGCTTATTTTGTTGTATATTGTTTATTTATATGCAGATATATGTATGTATATTGGATCTACATCAGAACTCTCCAGTTTGTTCCTCTGATTTATCTGTTACACTTATTCCCATGTCTTTCTCAATGTATGCATTTTGCTTTTATTACAAATACAGTCTCTTCAGCGTTTTGCAGCTGGGTACCATTGGTATATACACTACTAGAATCTTTTGTAAATTTCAAACCTAATCATTGTGATGAACTCATTATTAATACTACCATGACCTTGTTGTCGCTAATGATTCCTTGGAATGTTTTGAGCCTGCAGTCTTGTCACTTGCAAAGATAGTATTTTTCCTCTTCCTTTCTTACAAGACTAACTCTTTCAAAGAATATTACCTAGAAAAGAATTTGGCTAAAATGACTGGAACCCAACCAAGGCAAAGTTTGGCTTTCTCTCTCACCTTATAGAGACTGAATGAGTGAATTTAAAATAGTTCCTTTTTCTTTCCTTTTGCTATGTCCAAAAAGAGATGGTAAGGGTGTATCTGTGTTCTGCAGCAATGTGAATAACTAGATGAAGTGAGTTTGTAATGTAAAGTGCGTTGAGATTGCCAAATGCTACCGTGGCTTTATTATTTATTAGACATGTGTGTTTTGATTTCTCGCCTGTGTCCTAGGGTGAGGGATCTCTGGCCTTCTCGGGAAGTTGTTTTACTGTAGCACTTGATAAAGAGCAGGGTCACTGCTCTGGTGTTCGGCGTTGAGGGAGAAGTTATGCGTGTTACAGCAGGTGGAGACGGTGTTTGCCAGTGTGGTCTGTTTCTGGACAGCTGCAGAGACTTAAGAAGCCACTAAGGGAAGTGGTTGTCATCCCTGGAGGGAGAAGGCGTGCACCCCGGCCCTCTGAGGGCATCAGGGGTATGGCTGCTTGGATAGTGGCAGGGCTGTCATTCCTGCTCTGTGCTAATTCATTGCAGACCGGCTATGTTTTTATAAGTACAACATAAAACTTCATTTTATCAGAAGCTGTATAACCTCACTTGCCCTGAATTTCTTCACCTATAAAAAATGAGACTAACATTGCCTTGTAAAATGAGGCCTAAATGCACAGTGCTAGGCACAGTGTTCAGCACAGAGAAAGCCCCGCAGGAAATTGCTGTCAAATGGAACTTTGGATCGCTTGCCTTCTCTGTTCCATCCTTGTACAGCAGAAGTGGGGGTGGCTTGAACTGGAGGCGCTGCCTCAAGCCGGGGGTGGAGGGAAAGCTCTTTCTGCTTAGTTTCTCTCACCTGTCCTGAATGTTTTCAGAAACATGACAGCAGAACCTGTGGGCTTAGGATCTGTGCTCCCTGCTGAAGAGCCTCTTGATTCTCAGAAACACAAACTGCTAAGGTTTACTGACCTTCCGGCCCAGGGCAAGCCCTGTTCAGTTTGGCTGTTCCTAACTGATCATGGCTTTGTTGAGTAAGATGAACTGCTTCGGTTCCTTGTGATTTGTTAATGGTCTTATACTTGTGCTTGAAGGCATTTTGGCCACTTTAAAACCACAAACAAATAATTTGCTTCCCTTTAGGCCTCTTGCCCAAACAGTGAACACTAGTCCGCGTCCTGAGCTTCCTTTTTTTCCAAGGGAGCAGGAAGATAGTTCCAGTCAGTCATCCGATTTAAAATCAGTTTTCTTTGAAGGTTTTTATGAAGCCTAGGGGAATAGAAATATCTTGGATATAATAATAATAAAAAGCAAGGAAATGTTTCATATTATGGTCTTTTAAGTTTCCCCTAAAGAGTATTGGGGAAAACTCACATATTTCAGCGTCCAGGAACAGAACACTGAAACGCAGTTCTGTCAGCTTCTAATGTAGGCCGGGTGAAAGAAGCAGACAGCGTGACAGTGGAGCGAGCAGAGGCACTGTTTGCAAATTGCGATACTGAAAATTAACAAGAGCAAAGAACGCAAAGGATAAAGTATCTGTGCATGTAAACCTATTTCTAAAATAACTTCTACCAGTCTTGCATCAAGGAAAACTTACTTGATCCCCAGTTAAGTGTTAACATACTTTCAACTGCAGTTTTATGTTAAACAGCCTTCAGTGCTCTTGCTTTTTGCCTGTGATAGATTTGCCTGGAATTAACAATAGGTGTTTAGGGAGGGAGGCTCCTGGGGTGTTTGCCCTGGCATGTACGTTCATTCCTCTGGCCACGTCCTGTAGCCTTGGAGCTCTTTGAGGCTGGGGGACTGGGGTATCTATTTCAGTGATGATTAACGTCCAGAGTGGTGAGATAGACACAGATAAGCAGAGTGTGTTTGTTTGTTTTAAAATGATTGCGCCTAAGAGCATTTTTTTGGCCCAGAAAGCATAAAGTTTCCTAACTCTGAATGAAGATGGCATCACTGACTCGTTACATTTAAAGCCTAAAGTGTGATCTTCAGAAAACAATTAGCAACTCAAAGTAACCCAGGCTCTCTCACTCACCTTTCTGCCTTACCTAGGGAAGAGAATCATTTCTTCTCCAGTTCATTGAAAGGTTTCATATATGGATATATTTATTGTCTTTAGTCATTTCGAAAGACGTTATTTGTAATGACTTCTGTGACTTAATAAAAGTAGAGTTCAGTTTACATGCTCAAAATAAATAAAACAATACACCTGTGGAGGCAGGAAATAGGCTAGTGCACTCACCACCTCCAGATGCAAACTAGAAGAGTGGAAGGGGCCTTCTACTCCACAGTTGTGAGGGTATAGAAGCTGCTTATGTCGTTTCCATTCTTGTAAAACTAGAATGGTAGACGGTGAGTTTCTTGGTTTTTAAGGCAGAAACA